TTTGGCTCTTTTACCTCCTCATTTCTACATTTGCTTTCGCATCTCAACATTGGAGAGAAACTTTAAGTCTCTTCTGACATCTATTTTGATTTTTTCTTTCTTTCTTGTCTTCTTAATGATCTTTTGTTTTCTTCCTACACGATGTTCTTAATGTCATCACATTAAGAACATCGTATCTAATGCATCAAATCTGTTCCTGAATGTTATTTAAATTGAGGTGGGATGTGTACAAGGCCATATTTTGGCTCTTGTGGACTTGTTTTAATTTTCTTCAGCTTCAGCCTGAACTTAAAAAAAAAAAAAATTAATGTGAATTGAATGAAGGTTTATAGACAAGATCATCAGCTTTACATTCAACAAATCATCCACTTTTTTCATCTCAAGGATTAAAGTCCTCTCCCTGCAAACTCCAGTTAGCCACTTCCATCCTGTGGTTCCCTATTTAACATCTTCTATTTCACAAATGAACAAAGCAAAAATATCTGATGCACACATACAAAACAAAATATATATTTATTTAAATATCCAAAGGGCACATGCTGCAAGCCAGCCTCCTGCCTGTAGGCACACAGCCTTTCTCAGTCCATGGACATAGAGCCTGCAGCTGTTCTGTTGTTGCATGCTACTGCCTCTCCCATGGTCTCTGCTACTGCTGCTTTTTTCTAGGTAGGATCTTACACTTGACACGTGCTCTTATTTCTTGATGGCCCTGGAATTGTCTGTTCCTGAAATGAAAGATTAACTATCCCCCTTTTTAGTTACACATCTTCCACAATTTCATCTTTGATAATCACAATTAATCTTGGTAACAATTACTCACAATTGGATTATAAAATCCTATCAGCATCATCCCCCACCCCCATCTGGAAAAGAGGAAAACTCTTCAGTGGTTATTCTACCTTATGCCCCTCAGTCATGAAAGCTTGTAAACCAGCCACTTTATACCATTATAGACTCCCCATTTTTTGATAGTCAATGTCTAAACTGCCCATTTGGCACTGTGGAATAAAGCACTAGACCGCAAAGTTGGTTTGAACAACAAGGTCAGTGGTTAAACTCACCAGCCCCTCCTTAGAAAGCCTATTTTGTTGTTAAGTGCCATTGAGTCGGTTATGACTCATAGTGACCCTGAACAGGGTTTCCGAGGCTATAAATCTTTACGGGAGCAGAAAGC